TGAGAAAGGGTCACTCCAGCTCTGGAACTTTGTGCTGTTGGAGGCTTGGCCTCCACAGTGCTGGTGGTATCAGGATTTGAGGATGCCTTTTTTTCTTTCACGGGACACAGACTTGAAGGGTGTTGGCACGTATTACATATCACATCTATTAATGCATGCCACATATATTAATATATTCATGCCACATATATTAATATATTCAAGTGCTTGAGTTGATGAATGAATAACTTCCACTACTTGGCCTTAGTTTTCAGTTCTGGTTGATCCAGTATTTTTAAATTATTCCAGTGGTTTGCTGTATGTTCTTCAACAAAACCCTCTGGAGTAGTTTGCTGACTGGATGTATTCCTCCTGTGGTCTCCTGCTCTGTACCAATCCAGTCCAATGTGCTTGTTCAGGGATACATGAACTGTGCCTTCTGTCACTGCACGTCCCTCGCTCTGTGCTGTTCCTGCACACTCCTGTCACTGGCATTGGGGGCCACAGCCACTGCATTCCCACAGCATTTAATGGAACTCTCTGTTGTGTAAATGCCTGCAGTTATTTATACTATTACAGGGAAGGAATTGATTGTAGGGGACGTTTCTCAAACTCTGATATGACCCTCTTGGAAGATCCAGATGTGGCCGGCACTTCCAGCTGTGTTCTGTTCCCAACCTTTCTGTCTCGCGGTGCTCATGATGTGTGAGGCACACGGAAGGCATTGCTGTAGTCGGTCACTTCTTGTTTTTTACTCCATTTCTCCTCCTGATATTAGTTCTGAAGATGCTCTTTTGATCTGTTTGTAAATTACTTTGTATTTTATGCATGTACTGTACTTTGATTCATTATTTTTTTAGATTGATTTAAAATATATTCATCCATGATTCTAATAAAGAATTACAGGGGACGACTCACTGTGGTGTTGGGTGCACTTCTTGGGACAATTGGGATTTGACCTGAATGTTTTACCTATGCCTTGGAAGAGGCAGTGAGAAGACACTGAAGTGGAAGTGTCCCTGGAAAAGGAGCTGAAAGGGTTATGTAACACAGGTGCCTTCCCTGAGAGCAGCTCTGAGCTTCCTGGGGCTGCTGCAGTTCATAGCCAGGGCACTTTGGCAGCTTCAGGAAGCTGTGGAGCTTAGAGAATTCTGTGGGTTCACTCCACTCAAACCTCTGAATAACTTTTACAAACCTGTTTTTTTTCCCCATGTTGCCACGAGGAAGAAAATCTGATAGGAGACAAACTCCTGCCTTCTGCAGCAAAGGATGGAAGCTTTGGATCCCACTGTGGTGTCCTGGTGAAGGGGACCCATGAGCACCAATGGGGCAGCCCTGGTGGCCCTGGGGACAGCTCTGAGGGTGAGGTGTGAGCCTAGCCCCTCACTCACTGCAGGAGCTGTTCTTGCAGCACATTCTCTGCTCATACCGGAGCAGATTTTGGAATTAATCGATTTCCTGTGGCAGCCAAGTTCTAAATTTGTCAGTTGGAAATGCAGGATGAGTTTCACTCCGCTTCCTTTTCTCATTTCTGTAAGCAGGTGACTCGACTCTGCTGTCACATCAATCTGGATTTTGTGTGGTTTTAGGCAAAACTCTTCCTCCTGCAGCAGATGGAATTGCAGTGCAGATGTTGGGAGCCCAAACCACTGGGGGAGGCTGAGGACTTCTAAAGCAAAATCCAGTGGGGTCTGTACAGAAAAGGAACTTCTCACCTGGGAAATCCTTTGCCTCCTGTTCTGGGTGTCTGTGCTGTGTTTTCCTAAAGATTGCAGGACCCTGGCAGCAGATCCTGGCCCGGGCTGGGTGACACTCCTGGGACAGGAAGGTGCTTCCCGAGGCGTTTTGGGATAGACAATGTAAGTCATTATTCCATCTGAATGCTTTCCAATGGGGGATTGTCCTGTTCAGCTGCTGATTAATCATTCTGTTCCATAATTGGCACTACTTGTGTGCTGAAGTGCCTCCTCCCTGCTAATGGGAGACAGCTGATGGTTACAGACACTGCTTTGGGCCCTGGAAGGAGCTTTCTGAGATTCTAGGAATTCCATATAATGCTTCAAAATGGGCTTTGCTTGCCAGAAGTTTTTGCTGTCATCTATATATTTGAAAGCCCCAACTTTTAACAATTATTCAGCGAGTGTCAGTACTTCCTGTCTTTGATAGGAGTTGAGGTTCTGACTCTTAAGCAGAAAGGACATGGAATTGTTCTGATTTAAAGACATTTTTAATAAGCTAGAATTACTTATTCTATAAATTCAGATGAATTTCCACCCTTAAATAGCTTATTGAGTATGGCTTGTCAAATAAGAAGATTACATGCTGGGCTTTAGTTAACAAGATTTTTAGAAATATGAAGCACAAATATTGAAAAGCTTCAGCACGTAGCAGTGGCTGCATTGCCTGGGATTCATTAATTCTGAAGGTGTTTCTGCTGCAAATCTGTGCTCGTGATTTATTCACTGGGTTCCCTGGGAGCTGCAGGGCTGCCTCGTGTCCTGTCCCATGGCTGCTGGGTGACTGTGGCTCCTCAAGTGTCCACCCAAAGGTCTGGGAAGCTGTGAGTGGCCCAGGGCAGTGTCACCACTCATGGTGGGTGTGTAGGGGCTCTTCCAGCTGGGATTGTGCATTCCAGTTCCATTCACTGAGGTCAAACTGCTGAGGAACTGGGAGAAGGGTGTGCAGAGCCACTTACCTTTGGTTTACTCCAGCTTGGAATGGCAGCACTGGGTTTTCTGAACCATCCTGCCAGTTCTGTCCCAGCCTGGTGCCTGGGGGGTTTTGGCTGAGGGGAGCAGCCACATCACCTGGAGAGCTGGAATCTGTGCAGGGCTGGAAGTTCTGCTCTGCAAATGAGTACGTTGGAGAACTACACACTGAGAGAAATTCAATTTATTTTGTACAAGGTAGGATACCTTTGCACAGTGAACAAATATATTACAAATCTGTCTTGCCTTAAAAAAGTATTGCCATTTTGGTGCCTGTTTCCTAAGCTAATGCTGATATACAATAAGGTACTTTTTAAATTGATTTTGTTGGGTTTTTTTTCCCTATTAAGCTCTATGCACATCATTGCATTTGGTTTCAAAATCCTGCTTTGAAAAAAACCAAACCAAACAATTGAGCACATCTCTGCTCTCTGGAGTCTCATTGCAAACTACAGCAACACACAAACGTGGGTCAGGCCAGCAGCTCAGGCTGCTTGTGCTGGGTGCCAAGGTGGGTCTTAACGAGAGTATTCCTTATCCAACCGCTTTTCTCTTGATATTTTTGAGGTAAGTCTTTCCATTCAGGTATGTAAAATATATTCCTACCGGGCCTACAAAATAATTGTTTCCTTACATCTCAAATAAGGCTTTCCTGGAAAACAAAATTGCTATTGCTGATCAGCCACGGCCCCCATGCACACATGCAGCATTCGGGAAACGTCGTGGGCAGGATCCTGCAGCTCAGACAGCGCCTGCTCCCCGAGCCTGGGGGTGTCCAGGCTCACACTGGGGGTTCAGAGTCAGCCTGACACCTGAGAGCCCTGGCTCCAAGGGGAAAAGCTCCCAGGGGCAGAATGCCCAGAGGCAGGGGCTGTGATCCCAGGTGTGAGGGCTGAGCCCATCTATGGGGACACGGCTGGGCCCCACCACGGTGCTCCAAGGATCCAGGAGCATTCCCAGAGCTGGGATCCAGCCCCTGCCCCCGAGCTGGAGGCCTCCTCTTGCCAGTCCCTGACCCCAGCAGGTCACACCTGGGACCACACCTGGTGCTGTGAGCAAACCCACGGGGCTGGTGTCGTCCTCTTCTGCTTCCATCAGACTGGCGAATGTGCATCAGAATAGTTTTTCTATTTAAAAGGCAATCAACTTGCTACTTCCACGTTTGCCTAATAAAATTACATACTTAGAGTCAATACTACTTCATGCTCAAAATCTACAAGGAACTAACGGCAAGTACTCTACTTTCTAGGTCAATAGAGATTATAACTTAAAAAAAATATCATGGTGGCTCAGTCCAAAATTTTACCATAGGTCAGACCCTTGATAATTACTTCACAAACAGCTGCTGAAAAAGAAAACCCAGTTTCAGCTCCATTTAATGACATTTCAGGTAGAATCATCAACGGATAAAGTTGCACTACATGGTAATGCACATCAGAATAAGAGGTGTCATCAGTGGCATGCTGACAGTGAATCATGAGGAGATGGTTTGGGAAGATGGGAGAGAGAAGCCGATGTGGCTCAGCTGTGAGAAAGGAAATGAAACCAGGGCTGGTCTGTGCAAAGCTGCAGTGTCCCAGGGCAGGAATTGGAGGGGCAGCAGCTTAAACTGCCTGACAGATCTGCTGGATTTAGCTACCAAAAGAGAAGCTGCATAAGGAAAATCAAAGCCTACCTGTGCCAATCAATGTTAAAAGTGTGGTAAGATGGGTGTGAGACTCATTGTGGAAACTCCATTCATTAGCAAAGATCAGGGGACGTTTGGAAGGATATTAAAAACTGCACAGAAAGTGTCTATGTTAATATTCCTCAACTCAAATTCTCTCCTACTGAATATAGAGATGGCAATCCCAATGCTAATTACCAAGCATGATCTGCACAGGTTGCACATGGTGATGGCAGTAAATGAGATTTCCAGACAGTGAAATGACAAGTTTCCCTGCTCTCATTCAGAAAAATGTCCATTCCCATGACAGAGATGAAAATAAATTCCAGTGTATTCCTCATCACCTTGTTCCTAACAGTACAAGGTTTCTTGATGCAGTCGGTAGAAATGTACATCCTGAAGTCCTTCTACTTAGCATGTTTTTGTGGTTTATTTTACAGCAAAGCCAGGGTTAGAACACGCCAGGGAGAGTTTTTGCCTGGAGCACGAAGACACCTTCCCGGGGTGACGTGCTCCAGTCCCACGTGGAGGAGGCTCTCATTAGATCCAGGTACCCATACAAAAATGTCTTTATAAATAACATCATGCAGCAGCAGTTGGCCCAAGCTGATGTGTCAGTCCTCAGGGAAGGAAGGAACGGCTTCTCCTCTGCTTCCTTACAGTCTGTGGTGGCAGCAGTGCCCAGTGAAGTCCATCCCTCTAGGACTGCTTGTCCCAAGAAGGCCCGTGGGTCGGGCTGTGCCGGACGGGGAGCAGGTCATAGTGGCCAGGAATGTGACTGTTCCTGGGCAGGTCATAGGGGTTCTGAAGGTAGCTGGCACTCCGACTGCGGCCGTCTTGGACTATGCTGACAGTGGGCTCTGGGGGAGCGAGGAGAACTGGGTTATGGTGACCAGCAACAATCCCAAAACTCCTGATCCTCATGGATCCCTTCCAGCTCAGGACATCCACCACTGTGGCTCAGCTCCCCAAACCAACACACCAACGTTCAGGCCTTCCCCCTGCCAGCTTGTCCCTGTGCCACACCAAGCCCAGGATCCTTGTGCCAGGATCTCCACCAACCCCCCTGTGCCACCCAATGCTTACCAACTTCGTAGATGTTTTTATTGGCTGTTGATGAAGTTGGCATTTCGGAATACGGGGACTCCCTGTGACCAGGTGATTTCATTTCCACGTAGCTGCTCTCGGAGTGTTTGCAGGTTAAAATGGGGGGGTCTTTAATGGTGGCGTATGGGTTTTCACTGCTGTTCAGGGAACAAGTGCTGGAGCTGCACACAGATTCTTTCATATAATCTGCAAAACAAGAGCGGAGTGAGTGCGTTAGGGTCATTAGCTTAATTAGGTTAATTACAACTGAGCCTCTTCAGGAAAGCTGGGAGGGACAAGGGGGCAGGGGATAAGGAAGATCCTTGAAGCCTCCAGCACAGACACCCGGTGCTTGTACTCTGGGTGTTCCAGACCATTGCATCCACACTCACTAGCAGGAAAGAAATGAAAACCTACTCAGTACTGAAGGTTTTCCTGTCTAAGGTTCTAGCTGTCATTTAGTGCAATATTCAATTTGAGGTGGCAATCCTTTCCCTCCCTCCCCCTGAGTCCTGCGGAGCCGTGTCTATCCCGCTCCGCCTGCCCCGCAGACCCAGGCGTGGCCGTGAGCAGTTGGCTCTGCAGGCAGGACCTGCTGCTGGGCCCTGGGGTGCTCAGCCAGCTGCAGGGTGAGTCCTGGGGCCTTGGTCACATCCAGTGCCCTGTGTTGGAGTGCACGACATTGCCACAGGCTCAGAACTGCACCAGTGCAGCCTCTGCATGTGCAGCCCCTGCTGGTTTTGGGGTTATCCAGCATCCTACAATTGGGGAATGCTTGGGTTTCCACAGAGGGGGACAAGCCTCCATCTGAGCCTCACTTTTGCTCTACTTTTTTCCCCCCCTTTGCTGTAGACATCTCCTGCTCCTCTCCCCTGGGCTGGAGAGGAGGTGACAGAGGCACTACATGGGGAGAACAAGGTTGGCATGAGAGCTGCCCGGTCAGTGACCTTGGCTGGGATAGGCCAGCCTGCTGCAAGGTACAGTGCCAGTCTTGCTTCAAAAATAAAAAACAACAGAGAATAAATAGATCTTAACATTGACATTCAAGAACGTGCCATTGCTGCTGTGTGCATCCTGCTGGGCAGTGCCAGTAATTTAGAATTAGAGCGATGCAATGAAAGATGAGGCATTTTCTTGTGCTGGGTTACAGTACAAAGGCAGATCCTGGTATATATGAAATACTCCCGGTGAAATAGGGGGACTTGCAAAATAGCTGCAATCCCAGCTGCCCCCGCTGTCTAGTATGGGAGACAAAAAGAGAAATTCAGGTTAAGAAATAGACAGACAACATGACATCGCTTCTCCACTCCAAACCTCGGCTCTGAGCCTGCCAGCCCCATCCTGCTCCCTCACGTGCCAGGGTTGTGAGTGATTGTCCCTCCTTCAGCTCTGGAGTTGTGTCTGTGTGTCTGTGTCTGTGTGTCCATCACCCCTGGCCTGGTGCCCCAGGTCCTGGTTCAGCCCTGAGGGAGGTGCCAGGTCCTGCTCTGCCACCTGCAGCCTTTCTGGGCTCTGATTTCAGTGGTACAAGTCTGGAGAGCTCTCAGCTCCCAGGGTCAGTGAGAGCAGCTTGCTGGGAAGCTCCACTGCACACAAATAGCTGGGACCATCAGAGATGGGGAGGCTGGCAGAGCCCTGGCACCAGTGCAATGTTTATTTAGTTAGAAAACTCAGAAACTCCTTGTCTGACATCAGCCTGGGTGAGACGAGCAGTGCCTTTGGTTCCAAGTGAAACACACCTGGTTTGGTACATGACAGGAGATGGGAACCAAAGCAACACCAACATTCCCTGGCTGTTGGCTGCAGGGTTTGTCCCTTCAGTGTCACCAACCCCAGCCCAGAATAAGCCAGTAGAAAATTGCCCCATCCCATCCCTCTACTGAGAAATGGAGCAACCCTGTGAGACCAAAGGCTTCTGCACATGAGTCAGCTCAGGGTTGGCTTTTGCTGTGTATGTGACTTAAATCCAGGTGCCACAGTCTGGGATGTGTTGATGTTAGAGGGGAGGAAGCCATAGACAGACAAATGAAAGGCTCAGCTCCACCTGCCAGCAAGTTACAGCTCCTGGTGCCTACTACAGGCACATAGAGCTCATTAGGAGAGCCTGGGCAGCCTTTAATGAGCCAGCTCTGTATTTTGGGTGAGGGACATGAAGATTATCATAAACTTGCTTCTCCAGTTCAAGCAGTGCTGCTGAGCAGATGCTCACAGGGCAAAAGGTAGGATTCCCTCTGTGCCCCAAGAGCCCCCTGCAAAGCATTCCCTGTCAGCACCACGGCTGGGAGGGAACAAATCAAACCAGAGCTGGGTGTACATTCAGGAAATGTTGATTATGAAGGATTGCTGGCTGCTACAGCAAAGAAGAACAGAGTGAGAATTCCTCCTCCTGCAGAGCTGCAGCTGCAGGTAAATAGCTGTGTGGTTTGTTTATGGAATTGGGCACATTGGAGCTGGCAAAGGCAAAAATCCCAGCACATCAGCTGTTTTATTTCATCCAGCTCAGCTACTTTTATCTCCCTAAGCTAAAATTCACCTGTACTGCAGTTAGGGCTGACATTACCTCCCAGGCAGGTGTCCCTCAGCCCTTCCTTTCCCAGGACTAGTTGGAAGAGACCAGTGAATACCACTTGGGCTGCCCAGACTTGTTTGGCCTCTCCCAGGAATTGCTTTTTCCCAGGAGATGTTGGGAAACAACGTGCCTGAGAGCCCATTCCCACTGACGTAAACGAGCTCTGTGTCTGCCTGGGATCAGACCTTTGCTTTGGACACAATATATTTCATGGAGCACCAGTGGATGTTTGGGATTCTGGATACACCAGGGAGTCATTAGCCCTCAAGAAACGTTATGTGCAAGATCACAGAGGATTTAAATCTAAAGGCTGTAGCAGCAGCTGAGTTACTTTGTCATTAAGGTAATTTGGGGATAATTAAGAAGTCTGGCATCAATTGTCAAATTTTGTTTCATGAATTAATTTAAGCAGAACAAATTTATTTAGAGATTCTCAGCCCATGGTGCTGCAGACCATGTGTGAGCCCTGGCTGTGCTGCCTCTTCATCCCTTCCTGCCACAGGGTCCAGCTCCCATGGAGGTGAAAGCTCTGCCACACAGTGCTGGGACTCACTGGAAGCATTCAATCAGCTGGACTTCCAGAGAAATATTGGGAATACGCTCTAATTTTGAAGTCTCTGCCTTCTGCGTTGCCTGGATACCGATCACCAGACCTTTGGAGGGTTTATTTTTGTTAGCAGGGACTGGAAATGTCCCTCCCACAGACTGGGTTCCTCTCTTCTGCCCTGAATTTCCCCTGGCATCCTGCTGGCAAGCCTTCCACAGCCCAGGTGGAAGTGCTGAGGACAGGTGCAGTACACTGGGAGAAGGTGCTTTCCTGCTCTTTAACCCTTGTTGGGGTGATGCCTGTGCTGGCTGCTGTCCCTAAGCTGGCCAGCCTTGGTGCTGCAGGGACAGTGACACAGCAAGGGCCCACAGTCAGAGGGACACAGGAGTGGGGACACATTCTGTACAACAACCAGGGGAACCACTCTGACCCAGCCCTGCATCCCTGGGATCAGTGCTTCTCTCTGCTGGGATTTTCCTGGCTCTTCTGCAAAGTGTGGGTGTTTTTAAACACCTTAAAATGGTCGTGCCTGAGGTCACATCACTCCATAGGTGCAGCAGTATTCATTTAAACAACTAAACCTCTAAAAACCAAAGGACTCAGCTGAAGGGAAAAGCTTGGGAATGGTATCACTGAGCACCATGCACAGGAAAGAAACTGCTCAGAAGCCTGCTCTGAAAACCCTGGTGCCTGTTGAGCCCCTGTCACCAGGTGCCCCAGGGCTCAGGGCTGGCAGACACTGGGTTTGACACCTGGCAATCCCAGATCCCTGTGCCTGACCCCTGGAGCTCCACAGCAGCTCAGCCACCACACCCCTGGTGCCAGGCTGCACAGGGGACACCCCTCTGCTGGTGCCCTGCCCTGGGCACAGCCCCCAGCTCTGGTCTCCTCAGAGAACTGGGGGAGCAGGAGGTGGCCCAGGTTCACCACAGCCTGGCCTCAGCCTCAAGCCCCCTGTGCCCCCTCCCTGCAAGGCTCTGTCTGGTCCAGGGGTATCAGAGACCACTTCCAACTGCAGGACAGGCTGTCCCCAGTTAGAGCACACTGGTGGCAAAAGACATGGTTTAAAGTGTGTGAAAGTAGATAAAAACTGGGCACCTGCCAAGTCTTTTTGCTGACAGAATCCAATTGTTTGGGACTGGGAGTTTCTTCCTCTCCATTTTCTGAGGAATGTGGTGAGTCAGGGCCTGGCAGGGCAAGGAGAGCTCACTGAGCATTGGGACATTCCCAGCTCCTCATGGGAGGAGGCTTCCCTGGGGCTGCCCACACTGCCACGGAGCCCTGGGGCTGCCTGAGCCCAGGAATTGACCTTCAAAGGGGCCTTGGGAACCTTCAGGCAGCCAAAGGCAGCTGCTCCTGAGAGCCCTGAGCTCCTAAGTGCCTGCAGGTGAGTTCCCAAACATACCTGGGAAAGCAGGTGTGTCCCCATGTCCCAGCACCCTCCCCCTGCCAGTCTGAGGCAGCTGAGCAGCCACAAAGAATTCCAGCTGTGGCTTCTGAGCCTGATTTTTCAATTTATAAAGCGATAAACATGAAAAGGAAATAGTTTAGATCCTAAAAATTAAGAAAATAGGAAGCAGCTGAAAATGCATTTCACAGTTTGCTGTCACTGTCATTCTTTTTCTCTGCCCCCACTGGTCCCCCTCTGTGTGACTGTGCCTATGGATGGGAGTTCTTGCTGCATGTGCTTAAGGCACCTTTAAACTTTGTAAACACAGTAATTTAGTTTAAACTGATGAAGTTAATAGCTCCATGTAAAGAAAACAACTAGCTCTATTGTAGTAAGATTTCTCTTTTGAAAAAGAGAATCATTGAAGTAGCTGAAACCAGTGGATTGAGTATTTTGTATATCATAAATCATATATATCATATAAATACATAATCCATTCAATATTTTTACTTCAGCTTTATCAACAAAGAGTTGATCATGGATTCTTGGTTTCCTTTGGTTATTCTGTGTGGTAAGGTGATGTTCTAGCACATATTGCATCCCTGTCTTTTGAAAACAGCAGCTACAAGGTGAATATTGATCCCTAGGCCTGGCTATAAGCTGGTTAATGCTTTCTGTGTGGAACAGTTTTCGATATTGCTCGTTAGCTGAGACAAAGGTGTGGCTGTGGAACGCCTCAGCCATGGCAGAGCAGGGGCCCTGTCCCCAGGACTCAGCCAGCAGCAGCCCGAGGGCACTGCAGGAAGAGGCTGGGTGGTGTTTCCCTCACTCAGGGACATTCCCAGCCTCGGATTCAGATCAAGGACCTCAGCCTGAAAGCTGCCGATTCCCCAGGAGACAGAGTCCTTGCTCCATCTTCTGGAGCACAAGCTCAGTGTGCCCAATCTGCCAGGAGCTGTGGGAACTACTGCAGTATTTAGAATGTGAACGTGGAGGAAAAGTGAAGCATAAAATCACTGGGCCCTGTGCTCATGACTCCTCTGGGATCCTGGTTTAGACCTGTCCTGGAGTCAGTGCCCACAGCAGTTGGTGCCAGCCTGAGGGGACCTCCAGCTCAGGGAGGGCCCTTCTGCAGCTCTGCTCTAAATCCCTCTCAGCAAAGGGCACGAGCAGGGGCATTTTCTTTCCTAGGGGCTTTCTGTGAGCTCAGCGTGGCCAGGAGCCAAGAGCAGGGGAGCAGAGCACTCTGCCACCAGCAGCTCCCCCAGAGCCCTTGCTGTTGGCCAGTGGATCCTCCCTGAGTGTGCCCTGGCCAGCTCCAGCTGCCCCTCCTGCCCTGAGCTGAGCCCTCCCTTTCTCCCTGTGCCGCAGAGCCCGTGGCCCTGCAGAGCTTTGCATCCAGAATTCATGGCCCAGGAGTGCTGGGAGCCAGGCAGGCAGCTCGTGTGGGGGTGGCTCTGTCCCTCCCTGCCTGCGCCGCCTCTGCCGGGCTCCTATCTCACCTCTTCTAGGACACCCTCCTCACACCTGGGCAGGGTTCTGCAGCTCTGGATACCATACCTTTGAAGCTTTTTTCCATTATGTATGTGTTCTGACGTCTATCCATCCCACAAGCACCTGCATAAAAATGATATATAATGGAAAACAAATAAATATTTATGTAAATTGGATTGCTTTGACTACTGAGCAGCATATATTCTTCCCTCTAAATTGTACATCAAGGCCCTCATTTAGGGAGGCTCTTAAGCACATCCTCAGCTGTAAGCACACACTCAGCTCCAGCAGGGAGCCTGGGCACGCCTGGAATTATGCATGTGCTTAAGAGTCTCCCTGGAAGGGAGAGCTCTCTGCAGCAGGGTTACCAAGAGCTGCCGTCCATCAGGAGATCAGGATAAAAACCTTCTGCTGAGACATTCATTACTGGAATGGTGTGAAGGAAGCCTGAAACATGCCCTTTCAAATCTGAGTCTGCAGGTTGCATTGCAGCACTCTGTGACTAATTTTAGGCTTTGTTTTGTTTGTGGAGAGTGTGTTATTGAACTCAGAGCCTTAGACTCTAAGCTGTGTACAATCTTCTCAAATCAGCTACTATCATTTTGCTCATGAATTTGCACAGTTCAGTGACTGATGTGACAACAGTCCCTAAGTGACCACTGTGCTGTGACATTGCAGCACCAGCAGCAGAGCTGACAGCAAACAATTCTGCCTTGTGCAGCTCCAGAGGAACTTGATGCTCCTAACAGAAGCTGAGACAGAAGGGCATGGGAACCTTTTCCATTTTAACTCCTGCAAATTACCCTAGATATTAATCAAAAGGAAAATCTAATGTAAGCCTTTAAATCTTTTTAGCTATAGAGTCTGGTATTTCCTATTGACTGGGACAATCAATACAAATTTGGTTACTGAGAAATGTCCTTGTGGCTTATGGGATTCCCAGTCAAGTAACTCAGTTACACTGGGAAAAGAGCCCTACAAACAGCATGTCCCAGAGGTCTCCCAGCTATTTGTCCTTGTGTGTCCTCTGGTCTCTGCAGAAAAGTTGTCATGGCTGTGGGCAATGCTGTACCAGCCCCTTTTTTCTTGACAGCTTCATTTTTTTTTTTTTTTTTTTGCTAAATAAGGGAAATGACTAAATTAGACAATAAATCTATTACAGGCACATCAAAGACAAACCAACCCTTCTCTCTGGTTCTCAGTGCCCTTTCCTGGGCACAGGAAAGGGGCTGGTGGCACCCAATGCTCTCTGTGGTGGGGATCTTCTGGCCACGAGTGACCCCCGGTCCATTTGAGCACCTCCTGCTTTGTTTTGCACCACGAGCAATTCCCAGGCTCAGCCTGCTCCACAGGCCAAGGCACACGGGGAGGTTTGGGCAGGATGAGCTCTGTGCTCTTTCCCTGCTCTGTTCTGCTCAGACAGAGCAAGGAGGATGGAGCCAATTCATCCCTTGGCCCACGACCACAGGGCTGGGGCTCCCCAAGGCCATCCCTGGGGATCACATCTCCTCCTCCTGTCAGGCCTGAGCAAATCTCCAAGGGCAGCAGTGTCCAAGCAGTGACTGGGGCTCACCCCATGGAGCAAGGCTGAGAGGAGCAGCTGGAGAGCTCCCAGCTGGGGCCCCAGGGGAAGGGGCTGTACCCACAGAGCAGCAGTGGCAGGGAGCAAAGGGGACCAAGGCTGACCCATGGGGAGATGCATTGCCCTCGGGAGGGCCACACAACCCCACAGAGCCCTTCCCAACCCAAAACTCCCTGTAATTCTGCTTTTAGTTTTATCTGTTACAATATTGTGGGTTTATGACCCATTTTTTTTGTATTCACTGAGTTCCTTGGGAGGTGAAATGAATAATGGATACATTCTTTTTTAAACTGCAAAAGTAGTTAATGTGGAAAAGTCCTAAACAGGCCAGGGATCTGGCACTTTAGTAAAGTCCAGGTTTAAGTTTGAAGCGAAGTTATCTGCTGGGATGAAATCAGAGCTTCAGCTGGAAATAGTTTTCCACACCTTTTGGCTTTGAGAAAAAAGTGAAGTCAGTTATGAATCAAAGTTATTGCTTTTGGTCCTCTGGAATAAATGCAGCTTTGAGTCACTCATGATGTGCTGCAAATCCCACTTTAGTGTCTGCATCCAGGGCTGCTGTTAAAAAACCATCACAGATAAACCCAGCCCTGCCTGCAGCTGCTGTGCCCAGTGCTCCAGATAATGAGACAAGAACCTTTCCTGAGCTCAGCTCAGTGGTTTGGGAGTTTTGATCTGCTTAGGATGGGAGCTGGAAGCTGGGCTCTGCCACTGCCCAGTGCAGACTGGACTAGAGCAAGAGAGAAAACAATTCACAGGGAAAACAATTCCAGTTCTGCTACACGGGATAGAGGAATTGCAAGGACAAGCCATTCCCCAAAACAAGGAGCAGGCTGCCTTGGGCAGGCAGTGACACACAGGAAGGTGACAAAGCTGCCTCTTGTTGGCACCACAGAGTCCCCAAACTCTGATGTCTCGAGCCCATGTCCACTTGTGCTCCTCCCCAGACTCCACTGAACACAATCAGCTCTCTGAAAACCTGGAATTTGAAGCTCACAAACAAATATGCAGCAGTAAAAGTACAGGTTTTGCCTTTTCATTTCCCACTTGGAAAGAACATGAACCTGGCAAACAAAGTCCTGCAAAGCAGGTAAACCACCTGCAGTCTGGTGAGATCCACTGCAATTAAGAAAATCCTTATTATTTCAGGTTTTAGGAGATGAGTGTTCAAGTTAATTTTGGTGTGGATATTCTTACAGTTTGCTTTCCCAGCTATAATTCATGTTTAGGACACCTGCAGTTTCTAACAGGGCTATGACACATCTGGGAGCCTGGTGCTCCTCATCTGCTGGGTCCCATCCTTTGGGATCACTGGAGGAGTCACTGCCTGAGGAACCAGTGCAGAGTTTCCATCCATTCCAAATTTCTCTTCCATTTCTCTCTCTCTTCTTGCCTCACTCCCATCTGCTGTCTGTGACAATTCATGGGGTCACAGCAGAGGAGTTGGGCAGTTGTCCACTGCTATTTTAACTTTTTAACTGAATCCAGCCCTGCCCAAGGCTTGGCTGCTCTTCCAACACATGAGCTGGAGCATCTGTGTTATGAAGCTAAGGCTGATCAAGGGATCAGAAGGTGGAACACGTTTTTAACTGTGGTACTTCCATGCTTGATGAAGTTGGAAAGTCAAGATTCCCTGTGTGACCTTATTAGAGTTTTATTTTATGTTAATAATTCAAAGTTGATGATTTTAACTCTCTTCTGAAATTTTCATGAGAGGAACCTGCAGCTTTTACTGCACAACAGTAATACCAAGAAGTGAAAACTTTCTATTTTCATGTAAAAACGGCCTTGATCTGAGCAAGGATTCAACATTATGAAAGTTAGTATGAGCAGGCATTAATTCTGGTACTGAAGAGAAAGAAAAAATCTAATTTTCATAAATTAGTTTGAAAAAAGAAAGAAAAAGTTATCTTGGATGCAAAATGCTATGGGGAAAAAAATGAGTGTTTTGCTGGAGGCCCCTTAGCTAAAGTATTTATCACTTCTAGATCATTCTTGCTGCAGAGGCATTTAGCATCATTTCTGCTGGTAAAATAAAATGCATGAATGCAGGACAGAGGTGGCATATGGGGAGCTCAGGACAGCACAAGTTAAACAGAAATAAAGCAAATAGTGTGCAAAAAAAGCAGCAAAATGGTAAAAGGAAAATTAACGTGGTTTGAGAAGCATTTGGAAACCCTCACACACAGCCCCCTCCATGTCACATACAGATAAGCACAACCGTGGTTCTGCAGCTTATTACACAGAAAACATCCATGGTGTTAAGGATGAAAAGATTTTGCACTGGAGCTTGACAGGTTTGTGATTTTCCTGATGCAGAGCAGAGTTCTCTTTGGAGAGAGGCACCGTGTGGGCCCGGGGCAGAGGCAGGATGTGATGCCTGCTGCTGCCCTGTGTTCATTCCTTTGCCATGTGAGCTGTGAGATAGTTCACCTTAAAAATCCCATAATACCCTTAATGTTGCATGTTTTCAGTGAGATGTTCCTAATCCCAGGAAAGGAAAGGGCAAATGCTTTTGGCCACTGATGAGCCAAACTCTGAGTGCTCAGATAGGAAAACAAATAGCATCCAAAGCACTAAATCTGGGCAGGATTTGAGCTAAGAGCTGCTAAAAACCCTGTTAAAACTCAAGCCAGGAAGCCAGGAAGAATAAACTCAGAACAGGCAATTAAACTTCACTCTTGGCTTGGCTGCACTGGCTGGTGGTTCAGAATTGCCACGGAATGATTTACTGGGAGATAATGGAGCATTGCACACCCCAGCTCCCACAGAGGCTCCACACCTTCATCAAGATGCCAGTATTTAGTGCTAAGCTTTATTAAGCATGAAAGAAGAAAAAAAATAAAAAGCTAAATTTGAATTTTTAATGTCCTGAGTTAGTCCTTAAAAAAACATTTATAGAGTAGATGATAGTGATTCTACAGAGCAACCTTGGAAGGGAGACTAAAATGAATATTGACTTTGCTTTCCCAGTCTGTGGTTTGTGGTAAAGGAAACAATTTTTAATTCTCCATCTTTCACTACTGGCAATTCTGATTGTGAAATAAAGACAACACCAATATTCCTCATTATTGTTAATGCCTTTATGAAAGGCTGATTTGGATTTGGAATTGCTCTAAAGTCTACTAAAGTGATTAAAGTGTTTAAAAATTACTGACCTAGTTCATTCAGATAGCTGTAGGGTCTCCAGTCTGCAGTTTCTCTGTCAAGGATTTTGTTACTGAGCTGTTCAAAAAGTATGATAATGGGTTAATGCTGGAAGAGACAGACAGTTCCCACCCCAGACTACAGCCCAAGGATGTCAGGAATAAAAATGAGAGGTGACTCCTGCCTTGGCCTCACCATCTCAGCTCTTTCTCTGTGTGAGTTGGACAGCTGTTCATTAGCATTAGGGAAAATCACAAAGGAAAGTCACTTCACCAAGCCATGAACACAAACATGCTGGAAAACACAGGATTTCCTTTGGAACCATGACTGGGATGCCTGTGGACGTGGGGTGATGCTCCAAAACAACCCATGGAGATGGATGGACCAAACCCCC